AATACTTGTTCTGTTAACTTTGATGCAGTCATTAATGTTTTTCTTGAACAGATACTCCTCAGGTTTCTGTACTCAGATTCATTCACTGAACCCAGATATTCTCAGCCTGTTGGATCTTCTCAGTTTAACCCTCAGACAAGGTCAGGACAAAGTGTCATAAAATTTATAGTTCAATAAAAATAGGCACAGTTCTTCAGTACTCAAACATCCACTGTTTAGTGGCACCTTGGCTGAACTGCCCTTTTCATTTTCTCAGAACTAGGGTCTTTTGGGTTTTTTGTGATAAAGCATAAAATTCCATTCAAAACTAAACATTCTTAAAGTTGCAGAACTATGAGAATAATACAAACCCAATCCAAATAAAGCCAGACAATCTTATAGGCTTGAAAAAAAATTAAAGCCTATAAAACTTGTTTCAACTACAAAAAGAGACAGCTTGACAGCTTTGGTGAAGCTTTCTGTATTTACCAGTGAGAATCTTGGCCAGCAAGCACTGACGCGACAGTGTTTCTAAGGGAAATATTTTGTTCTTGTTTAGAGCACAGAACTTAGTGATACTGCAATACAAACTTTGGTGAATGTTATTTTGTACAAATATTAGAAGGAGTAGACAGAGAAAGAGAAAATAACTAGAAATTACTAACATGAGGTTGTCTCCATTCTCTAACCACTTTCTTTACACAAATTTCAAGCACTCCTTTAAAAAACAAATTGTTTCCTCAGCCCAATGCAGATTCCAGGAATCAGTATTTGCTGTAGTGTTACACTATAATTCATGCATGCTGCTACTATGCAATACTGAACTAAATGTACCTCTTTAAATTACAGTGAAAGGATGGAAACAAAATGAAATATACACCTCAAATACAAAATGTCATATTCAAAGCAAAATTATAACTGAAAGAAAAGTTTTATACACCCCAATAAGGGTTAATCAGTCAATCATGACTGGATGTACAGAAACAGTGCTTACCATGATCAGTCCTGTGCATTTCTGAACAACAGGACAAGTGTAACTGAGACCATCTTTGAAGCATATTCAACTGTTGCTCATAGTCTCATCACAGTGATGATAAAAACATGTATGAAGTCTAGGTAAGTCTAGCCCCTTCAGGTAATAATTCAAATACATGGCAATTAAACATAAAAAGATATCTGATAATAAATTACACCACAATTTCTATGTCATATGCCTACATTTTACCTAAAAAGCAAATAGAGCCAGCATACATAACTTCTAATGCCTTTTAGACACATTCAATTATTCCATGGCAAGAAAGTTCTCCCCACATATAGCCCTTACCCATGAAAACTGGGACTGAAGAAGGTGTTATTATCCTGGGTTAGCCAATGTAGTTGCCATTACACAAGTATAAACAGTTTAAATTACTAAGGAAATCTAAAATACTTCAATACAAATGGAAAATAGCATTTCATCACAATCTCATTTAATAGAACACATTATCAATATTAGTTGATATTAGAGCAAATTGTTTCAAATTGGGAACCCACCTAAATTCTTGCTATTAACTAAAAGTGCATTTTCGTCTGTTATATTAGCACCAGATTCTTTCAATCTTTTGTTGCAAGCTAAAGGCAACAAAGCCAGCATCTCATCATACATCCCTTTTATTACCTTGCCAGAAATTAAATAATGACATAGAGTTAAAACATTCATATTTCTTAACTTAGAACCCAAACATAAGAAAACACCCAAAATATGTTGATACTTCAAAGTTAATATTAAAATGGCATTCAAAGAGCATTGTTTTAATGGTTACATACAGTATCTAAGAGATATGGAAAATTTTATTTTGATAAGCTTGTAAATATCACCATAACCATAAAGAAATAATTTTAATAGCTTTTTTTACTAGTGTGAAAGCAGAATGTTTTTGTGAATGTCAGTGATAACATTTCTGCCTTTTAAATCTCAAATTATGTCACATGAGATGGAATTTATCTGTCTTAATGTTTAATAGAAAAGTTAAAAGTCTAAATTTGTGCCAGTCACCTTAGGTTGCTTTTATTGCGAGTGACAAGAAACAGGCATCTCTAAAGAAGGAATTGTCTCATCTAAAGACAGAAATAAAAAGAGGCTATGGGAATCCTCCCCTGGAAGTCTCCATCTCTCTTTACATGACTAAAGATGCCTATGGTGACCAGCCCAGATTTATACCAACTATATTTTTAGAAGGCTACCATCATGGGAAATTAATCCCATCCTTGACACCCTTCTCAATTAGCATTTGGGAAAAGTAAGCATAAAATACAGAAAACCAGAATTACCAACAAGTGTAAGAATCAAAATACACTGTCCCAGAAAAATTTAAAAAACAAGACTCTTTTGTGAAAATAGCAGGGGATCTGTAAATTTGAAATGTCATACAGCGTTTGATCTCCAAGCCAGGACAGACTCAGTCATTTCTAGAAGATTAAGAATATTCAGGGAATATTTTCAGAATATGCTGACAAAGTAATATGCCTCTTCTGTGTATGAGTAAGCAGCAATTTTCAAAAGCTTATAATTCACTGCAATAAGGACAGACATTCAGAGACATGGCAAAAGACACATCTTATAACCTATTAAAGCTTCCTTTTCAAATTCCAAGTCCTTGCTCAAAAGCAAAGAAGAGGTCATAGACCTTTTTTTAGACTATTTATTTTCCATTTTCAAGAATGATACGCCCATCTCACAGAAACCTTTCCAGAGACACTCAGGCTATAACAAAACTGTGGGCAGAAAATGTCTGACAAATCAATCAAAGTTAAAATTCAAGAAAGCTGACATTTGAACGGAGAGTCCCTTGCTCCTAAGTATTTCAAAACACAAGGAAGCTCCTCAATCACACATTCACAGAAGATAAGGCTATGTTGTGAAGCCTCACTGTACATTTGCCCAGTTTTTCCATGCTTACATTACATCCTCTTTAACTATGGACTGTCCCAGAACAGCCATTTGCAAGTAACTGAAAACAGAGCTTATAATGAAATTCTTAGGTCACTTTATAGGTCTCATTGATCTTGACAAAAACTTCAGGAAGACAGCTATTTCTACTGTGGCTTAATGGAGATCACCTGCAAGAGTTGTCTTGTCAAGTATGTCTTGCTTTTTTGGTGTTTTTTTCCAAGCACAGAATGATACTAAAAATGTATCTTTCTTGCCATGGACCAAGTAAAAAGATGCTATTTTTAAACATCTAAAATCTCCATCATGTGACGGTTCACATCACGTGAAATCTGGTGCTAATTCAAAGCTAAAAGATAATTTCACAGACTTCAATGTGATTTTCATAGTTACAATCACAAGTCTTTAAATATAATTTAACACATTTTAGAAAGCTTGCAAATTCCACCATGTCTCATTTTCACCAAAACTTAAGTAAAATATGAAACTGAATAACTAAATACTTCAAAATAGAAAAATTAAAAAAAAAGAAGTTTTCATAAAATAAAATGACAGAGTATTTCTGATTTTTTTTACCTATAAATATCCCCAAAATCATAAAATAGCTGAGACTAGAAGGGACCTGAGAAGCTTATTGAATCTAAACCCCTGATCAATCAGGGTCAGATGCAGCAAGCTGCTTGTCTGCTTGAGTTTTGAGTACCTCCATGGATGGGGCTTCTACAACCTCTTTGGGCAAGCCTCTCCAGTGTTTGTCCATCCTCAAGATAAGGAAGTTTTTTATACTGTGTTTCAATGGAAACATAATTTAATAATCTGTATGCAGCTTGTACCCACTGCCTGTCATCCTGTCACCAGGTGTCAATGAAAGAAGTCTAGCTCTGCCTTCTTTACACCCTCCCATCCGGTATTTACTGTGAGAATGAAATGTTACTTAGCATTTCACTGCTCAGGAGACAAGGATCTTGTGCCTAAATTAGTCCAACCACTAACCATTCGATATCACCCAACCCACACGTCATGTTTGGTGCTATACAAAAATCAGGGTAGCATCTTCAGAATTCAGAGATTATGTATGTATATATGAATTATACAGTATCATTCCTGCACTATAAATCACATGACACTTGCTTACTTGTTAGCCACTTATGACCATCTACTGGTTTTAGAGACCTGAATTTTAATTTACAAGGGACACAACACAGTATGAAATGTGCAACAAAACAGTAGCTCCCCATTAGATAATAAGTAAGGGTGTCTCACATATTTTTTAACTCTTATAAATGGCAAAGCACTAAAAATATCTGTAAGGTCTGAGACTATTGCTCACCAAGGAATTTAAGCAGCAGAAACTAGCACAGCTGCCATCATGTGCTCCTGCACACTTTTGGCTGCTAATTCCCACTCGCACCACTCTTTGTACCAGTGACAGCCCTTGGACAGCCATAGGGAGAAAGCTGGGATAAACCCAACTCAAAACAAATGCAAACAAATAATTGGCTACTTTCAGTCTGATCTCCTCTCCAAATTTACAAACAGCTACACGTGCTGAGTGAGGGAGAATGACAATATGGGGAGGAGAAAAGAAGCTGGCACTGCTTCTTACACAGACATGCCAGGTTAAAGTGTTCATTGAACATTTAGGCTAAAGCTAAGCAGTCAACACAAGCTCCTCAGCAAGTAATACTGCATTCCTTAGGCATTGCTTTCAGAATAAGACAGATTGGCCTCTGGAGATGCCTGCTCCTCTCCCGAGGGTAAGCAGAATCTAAAATGACTGAGATACAGCTGCTTAGCTTCTATGTATATAAATTAACCAGTATCTAGACGAGTAGAAAATGGTAGAAAAACAGGTTTTTGACTCTTACAGCACTTCATTCCCATTAACAATTGCCATTTGGAAAAAAATAATTGTAGCATAGCTTACCATCACACTAACATCAAATAGGTATGCATGGTCCACAATTTTTTTCCTAAACCATATTTTACATCTCTAAGCAATACGTTTCGGTCATGGGGTACTGTATTCCTCCCACAGGGCATATAAATCCACAGGAGAAACATCGCCACAGTTCAGTCATGAATCACTTACATTTCTTCAGTCACTTTGCCACTTTGCTGTGCTGTGGGAAGGTCTTTTCCTTTTTGCTCAAACTGGTCCTCCTTCCAAAGGTGTCTGTCACTTCTATGGCAGATAAGGACAAAAGGTCCTTAACTTTCACTTGAAGTTATCTAAGAGTAAAAAGGGAAAGGAACACAGTAAGTGCAAGAATCTCTATTGTGTTTTATTGCAAGGTATTACAACCATCTCTTTAAAACACACTTCAGTGTCATCCTTACACGTATGTACTGCACACCCAGGAAAAAATCCCACACGTTTCACATCTTTCTTTCTTTGTATGAGACACGTGAAGTAGTCACTACTCCTAGAGCAGTCACCTGCTTCACTTCTGAGATTCATAGTAACAAGACTGCAGTTCATTGAAAAAGCAAGTGTACAAGTTAAAAGATGATTTCACATTATTATTTATTTTGTACCAGAAAGACACTGAATACTTTTGGCTGGGATCAAGTAGGAAATCACAGTTTGTTGAGCACAGGTTCACTATAAACCGTCCTGCCTAGCCAGTATTGATAAACATTCTAATCTGAAGCTTCTGTTAAACAAAACAGCTCTCTATTGCTTACATCTTACTGCTAATAAAGTGAGACCTGGGGTTTATGATAGGTGTCATTGAAATCTCTCCATGAAAACTTAAAACTCACCACTCCATCAGAGTCAAATCTATAAATTAAATGCTAAAAATTATTTAGAAAGGAATAAAGGACAAAGAGTAACATGTAATTTGCCACTGAATTAATCCCTATATTGAAAAGTGTGCTCCACTCTCTTGTCCAGCACAGAAAACAAAACAACAGAACTAATTAGCAAAGGCTCAGAGAAGAAAACACACACGATCAAGGGCTTAAAAGAGTTTCCATATATCAAGAAGAATTCAGTATGCCACCAATGTTTAGACTGGAAAAAAACTGATTTAAGGAAGGCCATGACAGAAAACAACTAAAGTCTGAAGAAGATGGATACATTGCACAGACATTGTATGTTCCTTATCTTTGAACTCAAGAATCACCTAATAAAAGCCAAGTTGAAAAGAAAAATGTGAGTTTCTTCTAACCAAATTGTGTGGCAGAACTGTGAACTTCTTCCCAAGGATGCTGTTTATGGAAGGAGGTTTCATAAGTCAAGAGGAAGATGGAGGTATCCTCGGAAGACAGCCACCACTGGAGACAGATGACAGCCTAAGCTGGTCTGAACCAGGATGACCAGTCCTACCTCCTTGTATAGTCACTTATGTTAGTGCTAATTCAACCAATTTTATACTCATTTTACACTGATCTATTCACCACCCACAGTATTGAGAATTACTACATTAGGTACACATGGAGTCTAGTTTTAGTTGCATTTGAAGTACAGGCTAGATCCTTTTGAACACCAAAGTGAAATCCCGTGGTTCTCTGTACCTTACTATATGCTTAATAAATTTTATTGATTTTTCCAAAGCATCATCACCACTGAAAAAAAAAAAAAAATCAAATGAGGTAGCAAGGTCTTACTGTAAAGCAGCAGTAGCCTTCCTCTCCCCAGTCCACAGTCCCAAAGCAGCCAGGGCAGAGGGCTACAAAGCAAGGTTCTGCTTCTCAACTTGTTCGCTGGTTTCATGGGTTTCATGAGTCTAACTTCATCCATATGTTCCCACTCAGTTCAACACTTATATAAATGCAGGTCAGCATCTCCATTTCCCAAGTTTCATCTCAAAGTAAACCTTAAAAATCATATACTCTGTATTCCAATATCTTCCCTTTTGCTTTAATCTCTAGGATACAGCAGTGTTTCTGATTTATTTTGGGTAAGTGCAGATCAATTAAAATTCCTTCAGGGAAGCCTTCTGAACCAGCAGAAAGTGAATGACTGTCATCAGGAAGAAACACTTTTTGCTGTCACAAACTGGCATGTCACACTTTTGAGCAAAAACTATGTTAATTAATTCCATCCATACCTACCAGGTGTACCAAAGGAATATAACCAGTCCTTTCTGCTGGACTAGATATATATCGTTGTGTCTGTGAACCAAGTATCCCTATATGTAGAGCTGTGCATTGGCACATTATATGAAGAAGCAGCCTGTACTAGCACAAAAAAATATAGCAGGACAGAAATAACTTTGTTCAGACATCAGTATGCAACCAAAATCCCTTTTGCAAGATGCATGAATTAATACCCTCAATTACCACATGAAAACCAGACATTTCCCAGTATATCTACACACATACCAACTGATTAATACTCTTTTCAGACCCTACAGTGAGGAATTTGTGTAACTGACACTTTTTCTGGTCAGTTTGAAATATTGGATCAAAGTATGTTTACTGTTCAATCTACTCCCCTCTCTGAAAAAGAAGAGCCTGCTACAGTGTTTGCTGTTCTATTTGCTTCTGCAGCTTAAATGGCTTCACTGAGGAAGAAGGAAATTCACCATACAGCATGCTAATAATCAAAGACTCAGATAACACTGGCCTATAGCAACACTTTAGGCTACCTCTCCCTTCTGTCATTTGTCCAGCTTTTCTGTTTAAGATGTTAAGGGCAGGAAAATAACCAGACAGTTCAAAAGGTATTCAAGGTCTGGTATCCTTCACATCACTTTGATACTAACTATAAATAAGAGCAAGATGTACCAAAAAAGAACCAAATGTTTCAGCATTGATACATGAGCAAAGACAAGTTTCTTGAAAAATGGCAAAATTTAGAGATGTGGGTTCCAGGTATACTACAGAAGATAAAATACAGGATTTTGCAGGAACCTATTGAAAACAATCTGATAGTACCAGTAACAATTCAGAATTATCACCACCACTACTTAAACGAGAAAAAAACACATGAGAACAGGTGGCTACCTACTAGTTGTCAAATAAAAGTGTTGATTTTTACTCTTTCCACATGTGGCTTCAAGTTACCATCAACAAGTTTACAAAATCTTCCCATGAATCCTGGCTCTCTCAAGCAGGTGCACATAAAGGGGGAAAAGTTGATATGCGCTAAGATCACTTGCAAACATTAGAAGTCAACAGCAACCCCAAAAAATTGTGTAAACTAAGAATGCCTTATTTTCAACCATTTGCTATACAATTCCATTTGAAGGTTAAATAAGCATTCATTCCTGCTTTAAAAATTTATTCCATATAATCCTTAATTCAATTATACCTGGTAGAAATACAGTTATATCAAAGATACATGAAGAAGGTTTTACATGAAAAGTTTCTTAGCTTATGGTTTTGTGGGTTTGTTTTTTTTTTATTTCTGAAACAGTACAGTGATACAAGTAATCTGCACTTTTAAAGACACAAATATATTTCAGAGTACACACATATTAATTTGGGATATTAAAAGCTACACTTGTGTGCAAGATCACACCATTCCCATAAATTACCTAAGACACAAAGTAAAAGCTATGCATCATAACGTGATCTTATTAGTGTAACAGTTACAGGACATTTTTGGCAGTTCATAAATATACAGCTGCATTACAAAGCCATCCCAAATAAGCACTGATAAAATCCTTTATCTCTTGACTGTCGCGTATTTTTAGTTTGCTAAAGAAAAATGCATTAGAGAAAAAAGTATTTGAGGACTATACAGTGAAGTTTCTTAATTCTTTTGGAATTAATATGATACAAAATTCCATTTTTGTAGATAAGCATCCTATTAATTTTACTTTCAATACCTATAGCCTATTTGGTGTAACTAAGTAAAAAAACAGAGTAGAATGTGGCCTGATATCATAGCATATAAAATCAAGGACTGGATTGGAGTTTTGATTTTGGTTTGGTTTAAGACTGAACAATATTTACTCTCATTTCTAACTGTATAGACTGTCTAATGCAGTATGACAATCCTGTTTCTTTGGAACCATGTTTATCTAAAAGCCTTTACCCTGAAATCTTATCCCTAAAACATAGACTCACAAAAATAATTACTTCTTTGCTAATAAATGCCAAAAATATTTTTAAGAAAGATGTATTAAAACAGTGACAAAAGATATAAATATATCTGTACTGAAGTCCCTCCCTGCTGATCTGGGGTATCATTGTCCTGATCTGGAAACAAGACAATGAGTAAACAAAAGATCAACCATGATGTAAATAATTAAAGCAATAAAGGTGTTACACTGCAAACTTCCCTAAATGTTGTGCTGTTAAACTGAATGAAGCTGTTTCGTTTGTCTGCAATTTAAGAAACCTCATTATGCTATGATTGAAAAAAAAACAACAATGCTTCAGAAAACATTGAGCTGGGGGTACTTCCCTTCTCCTACACAATAAAATAAAGAAAGGTAGGACAAATTATCTATCTACAGGTAAAAGGGTCTTTCTACTATGCATCAGTGCTATGAGGATAATCAAAAACCTTATGTTTTTATATAGGTAAACCTTTAAACGACCTGAAAAGACATGCTAAAATTTGTAATATTTTAAAATCGATTCCTCTCATCAGTTGTACACCAAATTCTTCAAATCTTCTGGATTTGGATTATCATTAAGATTTAGAAAAATATTCCTCGTTTCTCTTGCAGATTTTGTCAATACTTATTTAAAATATATTGACCAGAAACACAACCTTAAACTGAATTGCAAGAGGATAGAATGGCATGAAAACAAAAGAAAGACTTTTGTCTAAGTAATTCCCCTCATGGCTACCTGTCCACCATCCCGAAGGAAATGATAAACATGAGATGGATGAGAGAAGACACAGGCTGACTAGCTCTACCGGGCAATCCACCAACCAAGAGAAAATACTGGATTTGGGACAATCACATGTAATACTTTGTCAACTAAAATCCAAGCTTGGGAAGGTTCAATAAAAGTGGTAAATTTGTATAGTATTTCTTGTGGCAAATATGTCTGGGAATATTTTACTCCAGTCATCACCAGTGGAAAAGTGCCACCTCCTTTGCCCCATATTCCTTCCAGCTCTATCTGCCCTTCTCTTTCTAAGATTAGGCTGTCATTCAGCACAGGGACATGCAGCAGGAGCAGAAGAAATGAATGTTGAGCAGTTCAGTGTGATTCCAGACAAGGAGCATCACGCACAATTCAGCCCATCAGGGTTATGCAATCAACACCAACACCAATGTGATGGTAGCAGGAATTCAAGTATGATTTTTAATCCACCT